CCCATAACCTGGGGCAGTGGTGTAACAGAACAACATTTGAACAAACTACATTTGAAAAGGGCTTACCTCATCAGATAGATACAAAGCAGGAAAACATCTAACAAATAAATTGCTTCGCCGAGCGGAGCTGGATACGACCGCAGAGGTCCAACCCTGAACAGTTGGGGCAAAAATGGACGCAATATTCGCGCTTGAAACATGTCTGAATTTGGATTGTAATTTAATATTTGACACATAAAAGGTTTCTGACACAGAATAAATGTAGTCAAAGAACTTAGAATTGGTTATATGATTTGAATTTATATTCAATTTTTTGCTTTTGTGCAATACACTTTGCTGTTGCGAATTGACCCCCCCCCCCCCCTTTTCCCCCCACAAAAAAAAAATAAATAATTTACCCCCCCTTTTTTTTTTTTTTGCTTTTGTGCAATACACTACGCAACAACACTTTTTTTTTGCAAAAAAAATAATATTTGAAGAATTTTTCTTTTTAATTTCTGAAATCAGAAATGAGAAAAAATTGACCCCCCCCCCACAATTTCTTTTTACCCCCTCCCCCCTTTTTACCCCCCAAAAAATCTTTCCCTCAAGATATGGTCATAATCTCAATTCAAATTTCCGATGGAGTTTGCAACCATAATTACCCATTTAATAGAATTTAAAATATGGTGTCAAATCTTTCATATGGATTTTTTTGTAAAAAAAAAAAGATGCAACATTTGCAGATATTTTTACTGGTCTTCCTTTATAAATATGCATTTCTTTAAACATAATTTAAAAGCAGTGTATGGGAGGTAATCAAAACGTAGTATTTGGATTACCTCCCTTACACTGCTTTTGAATTGTCTTAATTGTTCATTAACCATTACTTTATACATAATTTATAAAGTGTAAGGGAGGTAATTCAAATGATGAATTTGAATTACCTCCCTTACACTGCTTTAAATTATGTGTTGTACTTAAGTATTTGCCCATTAAAAGAATTTGCCCTTTATCCAGGACACCGTTGTTTTCCCCCTTTTTTGTCCCTAATTCCTAAACGGTTTGAGCCATAACGCCACCCCTCCCCCCCCCCCCCCCAAAAAAAAGCAAATCCTAACCATTCCTTTCTGATATGGAAACTTGTGGTTTAATTTCAGAGAGATCCAGAGACCGTTCCACAAGTTATTGTCTGGAAACTAGAAAAATGCTTATTTTTGGCCCCTTTTTGGCCCTTAATTCCTTAACTGTTGGTACCATAACCCCCAAAATCAATCCCAACCTTCCTTTTGTGGTATTGAACCTTATGGTAAAATTTCATAGAGATCCATTCACTTAAACTAAAGTTATTGTGCGAAAATCAATGTGTCTTCGGACGACGACGACGACGCCAACGTCATACCAATATACGACCTCAAAAAATGACCGCAAAAATTTTAAAGAGACTTAGTGCAGATCTGAGAGTACTCGAAGTTACTGACAGCTAGTTCAAAGCCAATAACAACTAATAAAAAAATTATGCATCTAAGACTAAAATAGCAATCATAACACATCCAACATCCAATGGATTTAGTGTAAAGACGTCATTAAAAGTAAGAGAAAAACATGACCTTGTGATACAGGTATCGACAGATTGTAAGGCCATGAATGTGATTATGTATATAACAATAATATTTAGTTTGATTTTAATTTACTGATAACAAAATCAATATTTATACCGATTAAAACAATATTCAAAGATCTAATTATAGTATTGAATTGGTAACCTTTTAGAATAAGTTTATCTAAAGGATCGATAAATTTACCCGAATCGTATCTAAATTTCCGTGCTCGGTAAACAACATCTCCGTAAAAATATTGATGTGCTAACCCGTTTGAAATAAGTTTCTACAGGTACAGCCCAACTTCCAAACTTCATCTTTGTATTTATGGAAGAATTTAGTTAAGGTTTTAAGTAATTCTTGCATGGTAACGAAATCCCTGACTTAATAATTTATCAGTAATACATGGATTACGTTCTTTGAAATCCAAAACGCCACAAGTTTCTTTGTTTCTTTTGAAGGCCCGGATTCTCCGGTGAGTCTCTCGCTGTTCCTTCTGATACATTTCCTGTTTATAAACCTGGATGCAATTGTAGTATGGCGTGGTTATTATTGTTACATTCACATATCTGTTTTCGAAATTTGTTTGGGGAAAATGGATTTTTACAATTAATAATTTAGCAAATAAAACAATTCGTGTTGTTTTCCCTTAATTGATTTATATTATAAGTTAACCACATACTGGAAACATTAGACGAATAAGGCAATTTTTCAGTTTGGTACCCTGTATCCAATTTATCGAATATGGAAAACATATTGCCTTGTATCGTTTCTTTCATTGATTAGACTACTAGTAACGTAAATTATTTATCTGTTGATATACGTATAAAGTGGTTAGGACATTTTTGTTCTAAACAGTAAAAGCATAAAGATGTGATGTTATCAATTTTTCCCATTCGCGGTGTAATGTTCCAATCAGATTAGTTTAAAGCATGGAACAGAGAAACTAATGCATCTATCTTTATAACATATTTGTAAGCAATGTTTTGCGATTACTTTGGTGTGTCACAATAAATATTTGACATAATTTCAAAAGTGATTCTAGTATTTTTAACGAATCTCATGAAATTGGTTTATCATTTTAAACCACTTGGCGATACAAGGGGTGTCATATACGAAGCAACAGTTTAATTAGATTTTTTCTGATTTTTCTACTATACATCTGCACTTATTATTGATTCGTCTCGATTGTGCATTGTCCTTATAATAGTTTTGGTATACGATGAATATAACTTACAATGTACAACTTTTACTTACCAAGACAATTCCATTGTAATTTTTATATATATCAAGTATCTACGGGCGTCATCAAATATTCTAATACTACATATTTATTCAATTATTAATCTAAACCAATGAGATTTTCCACAAAAGTTCTGTCACATGTTACACGTTAACAAGTAAATGCAATACAAGTTGCATACCAGATGGAAATTTAGACCAAAGTAAGGCATCTACAAACTAGAAGCTCTAAAGACCCTGTGTCGCTATCCAAGGTCAATGTTCATCTTAAACTAGGGCGTGTTAAAGACCTCGACTACCCATGAGAGTCTCGCACGCGGTCGGTTAAGCAATGGACACTCTCCAACGCTGTGGATTAGAATAAAATTCATGAAAAAAATCTCTGTGTTGTTGATTTTGTTGTATTGCTGAAAATGCTGATATTTTTTCTGTTTATAGTTTCTCTCTATCTTCTATAGTTTTTGCGCAAAACATAAAAAGGTTAAACACCCTAATTTAAGGGCAATAACTCATATAAGAAGACAAATGACAGTATTAACTAGATCAAACAGGTGTGGATCTTGTCTTGCTAATCATTTGTGCTGTTTAAAGTATCTTTCTATCTATTATAGTTTTCATGATAATAAGCAAAGTCGCATAAAAATGATAACAAGAATATATATGATTTAGGGGTGGGGGATCTCGACCGTTTACAAGATAAAAGCACATTCTCAAATTGAAGGGGACTGGGGGCAAGAATATATATGGTTTAGGGAGACTTAATTATCTACAAAATGTCTAATAATGAACAGTAAATTTCAAACTTCATTTATACAGTCCTTCTAGTAAATTTCAAACTTTATATATACAGTCCTACAGATCTTATCAGGAAACAGAAAATTTTCAAATAAATCTGTCACTCAAATGATTATCATATGCTAAGATATTTCCCAGATCTAATTAATAATGAAAATCATACTTGCAAATCTGAAGGATTATTCTTTTGAACAGAACTATGGTTTAACATAGTACTCTAACATTACATATATAATAATTAATAATGTAATTAACTTCAAAATGTCTAATAATATAGCTTATAATCATCACCACTTAGGAAATAGAAAATTTTCAAATAAATCTGTCACTCCAATTTTAAGTTTGAAATAAGACATTTACTACGCTTAGTCATGATATGATAACAAGAGAAAAATATTTAAAAATACCACTTTTGGATATTAAAAATGGCGATAACTCAAAAAGGATAAATACTAAAATAGTGAAAATTGAACTAGACCTTCATTTAGTCACAAAAAACAACATATCTAAATTTGAAAAAAAAATCATCACAGCGTTTTCATGTTATTGAAGAGACACTGTTTGGCAGCCGCCCGCCGTACATCCCCAAATCATTAACCGATATTTCCTTCGAAAATCCGGTTAAAAATGGTCAATAAAAGGTAGAAAGAGTTGGCTGACGATTTCGGCGCTGTTGACTTATTCGTAGATCTTATCTTAGATAATAGGCAAAATTGAAAAAAGGGTAAAATAAGTCATATCAGGGCAGTTACTCTTATAAGAAGTCGTCTGACAGTTTTGATGTAATGAAAGTAGATAGATCTCAGCAATCTTTGCATGTTTACCCCTGTCAGATTTTCTCTTAGCTATAGTAGTTTTCAAGATGATAGACAAAACTTGCAATCTATGCTCTAATTTTAGCTATGTCGGCCATGTTGGTTAAAAGGCGGGTTCATCGGGCACATTTTTTAAACTAAATACCCCAATGATGAATTTCTTCAAGTCACAAGTTGATTAAATTTGGCCCAGTAGTTTCAGAGGGGAAGATTTTTGTATAAATTAACGAACGACGACGATGACGACAGTCAACAGACGCCTAATGATGGGAAAAGCTCACCTTTGGGCCAAGTGAGCTAAAAATGTATAAACAAAAATACCAAAATCCAAGGTATATTCAAAGAGAAGGGGGAAGTCCATTTAACCGGACAAAACAAAGCGCTAGACTACATCAACCAATGAAACAAACTGAAAACTTTTACGAAAAAAATGGTGGGTTAAACCGGGTTTTACAACTAGCTTAACCTCCGAGTTGTATGATAGTTTCATTATATTGACAAAACATTGTTGACGGACTTACACTTCCTTGTTTAGCTTTCAGCAACATTCCTCGCAGGCAGAACAAAATTACAATATTTTGAATTTATTTTCAATGCATGTATCATTAACAAGTTTACAAGTTAACAAGTTCATATTGAATTAACAACCTTATTCAATAATAGAAAAAGATCTGCTTAAAGAAGTAAAACTAACCATAATTCAAATTAAAAATTTACATAAATAGAATAGTAATATAAAGTAATATAGACAACAATATTTACTATATGATAAGAGACTATAATCAGTGTTGTTCATTCTCCCCTATATGGTCAATAGTGGGTCACTTATTCGTGATAAGTGCCCAGTTCCTGATGCTTATGTTTTTTATACTCAAATTATCTAGCAAAATTCACTCATATTTCTATGATGGTCCCTTTGTACCTTCTTTTTTATGTCCCGCTTGCGATAGAAAAGAGGGGCATTGTGTTTTCTGGTCTGTGCGTCCGTTCGTCTGTTGATCTGTCCCATGTCAGATTAAAGTTTAGATTACGGTAGTTTTCCATGAAGTTGTGGTCACATCTTGAAACTTAGTACACAGGTTCATTATGATGTGAACTTTAAAATTTTATACCTAGTTACGAGTTTGACCACGATTTCACGTTACATTGAACATAGAAATGTGATAGTGTAAAATTAGAACATTCTCAGGTTAAAGTTTTTGTTAAGATAGTGCCATAAAATTGTGGTCACATCAAACTGAAACTTATTACAAATGTTCTTTGCGAGACAATCTTTTCAGATTTAATGCCAAATTACGATTTTGAGTCTGATTTCACGGTTCACTGAACATGAATACTGGATAATGCGAGCGGGGCATGGTGTCCTATGGACACATATTCGTGTTAAAAATATTTTTAAAAAAAGGTATATATTTACATTTTAAAATAATGCTAAATGTCTCAAGAATAGAACAATAAACTAAACAGCATTTTACAAAGTACTTGATGATGGTAATCACAGATAAGCTCTATTCAAATAAAAAGTAGAAGTTGGTCTTCTAATCAACACAAAGTGCTATAATTACTACAGAAACCCTGATTCCTTTAAGAGTTCGTCTCTGACTTCTGTTATAATTTTCCCTAATAGATTCAATCCTCTCCAGTTTTCCACTTTAAGTATGTCGGGATTATCTGCAGCCAAACCTATTCCCCAAACCTGATCAGTTGGACTTGCCTCTACTAAAAGCTTAGGATATGTGCTTAACAGTTCCGTTTTCAATTTTTCATTTTGGGAAAACTGAAATCAAAATTAAGGTCAACATTAATTAAAAATTACATAAAGTATCTTTATTATTTAAATCTAAATGCTTTCTGTGAAGACGCATTTTCCTAACCTATCCACATTTAATACATTGTACATGTATATTACTGAGAAAAGATATTAAAGTCTTCTCAAATGATATGCTAAACAGAAAACATATGAATACAAATTCAAATTGATTTATATAAGAACAAACATTCAATGAGTATTGCCTGGCAATACATAGTCCACTACCGGTTAAAAATTCATTATACTGGAACAAAATGCTAACTTAATCTATAACTTGTCATGGTGTAAACTATATAAAAAATATCAAGCCAATATCTTCAAGCATGACGAAAACAATGTGGAAAATTGATTATTTGAGTGAATTTTCTAAGTCCAGGGACCATAACTCTGTACAAAATCATTAGACCGGACCAAAATTTGAAATTTATCTGTAACTTGTCATGATAAAACTAGTTACCAATCATTAAATCAATTTCTTAAAGCATGACAAAACAAAGTGTGGAAAACTTATTAATTGAGTGAATTTTCTAAGTTCAAGGACCATAACTCTGCACAAAATCGTCAGACCGGAACAAAATTCTAACTTGATTTGTAAATTGTCATGATAAAACAATACACCAAATATCAAATCAATATTTTCAAAAACGAAGAAAAAAAGTGTGGAAAACTGATTTACCGGACTGACGGATGGACAGACAGACAGACAGACAGACGGAGTGCAAACCTAAAGTCGTCTCCGACTTCGTCGGTAGGGGACTAATAAAAACAAATGTTCTATATTGGCAATATTATTAAGAAACAGAAAGAAATATAAATAAGTACTATAATTATGAAATGAATGAATTTTTCTAGTATCATACTAATAGATGTCATGACAAATATCTGTGTCAATGTAAAATGCCCAATTGCATAGAAGGCTTATAAGGGATTTTTGTGTTACTGTGAACAATTTGCACGATTCTTATACTAGTAGTGTTAAGAGTCTTCCTATCTAATTTCATTTGGAAATATAGTAACAAAATATTAACTCCCCTGTTAACACTGATAATTAAATCTTTTCAATGTTTGTCCCGTTTTAGCAAGGACACTGTCAATTATAAATTCACGAGAAAACGTTCTAGTAAATAGTAAAAATAGAAATAAGTTGAAATAAAAACATAACTTCCATTTAATGTAAACATTTCCCTCCTTAAATAGCAAACCACGAGTACAGCAGGCTATGGAGCTTGATTTATTCATAAAATCCCCTAATGGAATCTTATTACATTTCATTAACTATTGTATAATTATCACTTGTACAATTATATAAAAAGTTCATTTAACAGTACAGTGAACAAAACTATACAATTGAAATGTTTGTAAACAGGTCATGTTCATACTATGGATTCAGACTAGCTTTAGTTATATCGCCTTGCTACTTGTTCACACTACGAGTTTTGACCAGCCTTAGTTATATCGCCTTGTTACTTGTTCACACTACGAGTTCTGACTAGCTTTCACTATATCACCTTGCTACCTGTTCACACTACGAGTTCTGACTAGCCTTAGCTATATCGCCTTGCTACTTGTTCACACTACGAGTTCTGACTAGCTTTAGTTATATTATCTTGGTACTTGTTCACACTGTAAATTCTGACTAGCTTTCGCTATAACACCTTGCTACTTGTTGACACTATGAGTTATGACTAGCTTTAGCTACTAGTGTATCACCTCACTGTTCATACTATTGACTTATACTTATTTGATGTATCACCTTGCTTTTGGTCCACATAATATGAATGTATGCCTAATTTGCTACATTACCTTGCTATTGGTCCATATAATATAAATTTAGGCCCAACGTGCTTCATTGCCTTGCTATTTGTCCATCTAATATTAAGGTGGGCCTTATTTGCTACATAACCTTGCTATTTATTCACATTATATATATTTATACTTATTCTTGCGGTATTTACTTGCTATTTGTTCACACGATAGATCTAAGCTTACTTTTTAATAACATTAAAAAATTAGACTTACTTTGCTCTATTGTCTAACTACTTGTGCTGATTAGATAAGACTTACTTTTGCCATATTGCCTTTTTTTACTACCTCTTCACGTTTTGCCTCCCATGCTTCGTAATCAAGACCATGTATGCTTCTTCCAAGGCTCTTCTGTTCACCAGGATCTTTCGTCGACATTATAACTTCGTCTAGCTTTGCTTCATTTTTAGAAAATTCTAAAATAACATTAAAGGAAGATACTTTATGCAAACATAAATTCCATAAAAATTTACGATGTAATTAGTGAACATAAAATTATATTCCTATAAATAATTATATATGCATGTATTTGTACCTTAAATTATAAATATTGAAATATCTGCACCCCTCTTGACTCCAAATTCCTTATGGAACTCAATTTAACACAATTTGACAAAGGGTTAATGCATGAAAATATATTTCAGACACAACTACACATAGAATCTTCCTACACATAGAATCTTTAAATACTGTATGTACATTATATACATATAAGTGACTTAAGAACTGCTGCGTACAGGTTCATGAGCGAGAAAGATAAAGTCTCTAAACTTAGTGTGAGGGACTTAACTTCACAGCTCTATTTTACTTAAAACAGCTGAATACTAGTATTTAGGGAGATATTCGTCATTATTCTGTTTCCCTACTTTACAGCAATAATGAGCAGTGAACAACCATTAACAGTTACTGTTGATTAACCCTAACCCTACAGACCAGTTTACATATGTTTACTGTCTACTAGTACTTTATTCGCCTATGTCAATCAACCGGTTCGCACTGCTATACTTCAAAGAATCTTAACGGAAGAATTTAAACCAAAATGTAAACGACAGGCGCTGAATTATGGGAGTTAGAACATGAGTCTTTCGTTCAATATTAGTTGGACTTAAAAAAAAATCACACACAGTCGCTTGGGTACTGGATTCGGATTTTTTTTCATTGTTCGCACTTAATACTTAATTTTCTGTTTTTATACCATATACTTAACACTACTTTGCTTGTTTATTTTTTTAGTATGGATATTAGAATTAAGGATTTTATCAGAGTTGATAAATTCACCCAAGCAAGGTAAGACAAAGCACTGTCGAAGGCTGTATGGTTGCTTACCATTTCATTTGAACTTTGGTGGATAATTGTCTCATTGGGAATCATTCCGCATCTCCTTATTTTAAACAGTAGTGATAGGTATGTGGTATAAAAATAGAAAATTGAATATTAAGTGCAAACAATTAAAAAAATCAAATTCCTGTACTCAAGTGCAGAGGCACTTGTCCCTGAAAAAAAATCCTGTATACCTTAATGATATATTACGGAATATAGGGTTTTTTTCAGAGACAAGTGCCTGTACTCAAGCGTCTGTGAAAAAATGTGCCGGTCTAGTTAACGACAGATGGAGCAGCCTCTCCAAATTCAACCAGACCGGAAAACAGGGCATAATAAAATAATAAACCAAGGTACATGTATCATAAAAATTAAGTGTCAACTAATACAGTGAAAATCATCTAATTCCGAAGCTACTCATATACGCTCATCGTTCATTTTGAAAATTCCTTTCTCAACCGCGATGCTTAAAATCTGCAAAAGTATCAATGTTTCAATTCATATATTTCACCTAAAAAGTACTTCAAGAGTCTAATAATCAAACCAGTTTTACATTAGTTTTTCATTTCATAGAAACAAATATCAAAATCAATAATAAACACTTTTTTTTTACAAATGCCAGTTTATATTTTTCTACATACTTGCTTTATTGTACATCATATACTGTTCAGCACAGTTAAAAGTTAGGCCATCAAGAGTGAACTCAGCTGGATGCCATTGACTGAATGGTGAGTCTTTTCGCCAGAAAAATAAATAATCCTCAGTCTCTCTTTGTATTCTGTCTTTCCCTTGGCGAAAACGTTCGTTCGATTGTCCTCCCGCTCCATGGTCTCGTGGTGCGTGATCTGATGAACTGTTACCAGTGTATCCACTACTAGTGGTGTTTTTGTTCTCACAAGGTTGAGGTTTTGGTCTTTCTGCATTTGCTTTACCATGTCCACCAGGGAATCTAAAAGCATTACTGTATTTATCGCTTCCTGCTCCACTCTGAAGTCTATTGTTGCGTCGTCTTTCTTGGTTTGTGTTGTTTTCCTTTTTATTTTCGTCTGTAGTAGAATTATTGGAATAAGACGTATCTTTTGAATAATTTGTAGAATCCAACGTATCTGGGGTAGAACAAGGTGTGGATACAAAATTACATGTTCCATCTGTTGCTTCACTTTCTAAATTATAGGAAGGTATATATTTATCGTCATTGGCTTGTTCCGTTTCTACCGGTGGAACATAATGTGCAGTTTCGGGATCAGAAAAAGCAGAAATATTAGGGTACAAATTTAACCGTCCATTTCCAATGCCTGAAGATTCTGCCATATGTAAATGGTTTCTACAAAATATGAAACGGTTTCACTAAGAGTTAAGTTTTATCCTGTACAGGTCTTCTTACCTCAGGCACATTTAAATGTGAAATGCGCGTATAAATAAAAGGATGCGTACATTGGTGATACATATTTAATACAGTTAATACTAAATATAATGCCAAATTCCCCGTTTAGAATTCATTCGGAAATACCTAATAAAATCTTATTTAAAATTTTGAAATGTTTATATAATTCCAGCATCATTGCTTCGCTACAGAAATTCGTATGATAACATTTTTGTCGACTGCCTCTTTCCGCTTGGTGCCTTCCATTATCATATTTGATTACAGTATTTCTTTTGAAAACGTAAGTGTTAAAATAGAAAGTTCCTTCTGTATATGGAGTACTTCCAATTGATGCCATTAATGTTTGTATTTATTCATTGCTACATGATGATGGGTAACATTCTATAGATGCAAGTAAAAAATGAAAAACAAGAAAAAATAAAAGGTCTACTCTATCAACAAGTTCCATAACATTTTATTTTTTACCATTAATGTTAAACTTTATCATTTGTTTCATATAAGGTGCATATATTGAGATGGAGACTTAAAATATATCACATTTATTGTATTCCCTAGATCACTTGAAAAAAATGTATTTCATTTGCGATTGAGTCATGTACATTCAGTTGAATTCCTGTTTCGTCTATTTCAAGTCTGGATACAAAGAAAGGCGAACGTATATTAGATTGAGATGATGATGGTTAACTAGAATCAAGGACTACTGTATAATGTACACAATAATTGTAATGTGTTGCTACATGTAGTTAGCTAAGCGAATATATAATAAGCAAAAAATGTTCAGAGACAAGTGCCTGTGATCTTAATTCAGACATTATCTCTGAATTATAAAAAGCTTCTGCCAAAGTTCCATAAAATTCCAAGCAGGTTTGACAAAGTAATTGATGTGCAACAAACTTTAACCCTTAACTGTATCTACTTGTTTATTTAAAAAAAAAATCTTAAGTCCTTTTATCAGAAAAATTCAGAAAAATAAAAAAAAATATATTTTCATTATTTTGCTCTGGATACTCTCTTTTGATCATAAAAAAAATGTTCTGTCCAATTTAACATAAGTAAGATTCCTGAAGGCTTGACATAGTTATTGATGATTGAAAAACGTGAACCTTAGTCTGAATCTGAATGTTAACTGTAAAAATACTAAGTCCATTTATCAATGAAAATAATAAAAAAGTTCTAAATTTTACTCTGGCTACCGTCTTTTAGACTTCAAAAAAGCTTCTGTCCTAATTTCATAAAATTACATAACATCAAAAACGTTAACCACAGACTGAACTTAATGTTCGCCGCCGCCGACCGAATATATCATCGCTATCTCTCACTTTCGCGACATAAACGTTGCAGGAAAAAGGAATCGGTGACAATATACCTTCTTTTGTTAGGCCATGCAAAATAATATGGTTCTCTCTCCTGCCTACCAACTCCCCCGACTGTCATGCCAGCACTTGTCTTTGTAAAACTCATAACTTTTTAGGTATACATATTTTACAGACTTCATGTTTAGTAATGTTTTTATTGACAATCTTTGCATTAAGACAAAATTGCATGTGTGTCTTAAATACTTCAGTTAAAAGAAATAAAAAAAATACCTACAATATTTTCTGAAGAAGTTAACGTGAGGGTACCCAAGTTGCACCTATTTTGACAGTTTTTTCACCTACGTTTGTTTAGGATCCAGACAAATGTTTCCATTCTGGGTTTATTTTGTAGATGTATCCTTATTTACTATATAGTTCCACCCGAATTTAATTTTGAATCCATATTGAATCAAGGAAAAATGGGTTTGAACCGACCTCCAAACGACCCATGATTCTAAAATGAGGAATTCCAAAATTGCATTCATGCTTAAATTCACATCCTTAAAAATCGAATAACAGATGCTTTGTTTTATTATTTCAAATATTTAGAATAATTTGACATTAGCCCATGCTTACTATTCATTTTTTTAAGAAATGGATGCTTGTAACATGTTTTATTTGCTAATTTTCAAAAGATGACTTTTTCGGACGTCGCCATGCGACGTTTCCATCATGTCCATAGATTTTACTTTTTCCAGTGAATACTTCCATCTGATGACACAGTGAAAGTTTTGTGCATATCTACATATATTTAGCTAAGTCGAAACACGTGCATAATGTCAAATCATAGAAATACAAATTGTTTAGTCTCTAAAAAAAACTTGTAAGATTCCCGCTGCTTTTTGGCCAAATAGGTGCTACCGAGACGTTAAACACAAGTTATCTTAATGTGGCCTAAAAAGAGAAAGCGAAACCGAAAGTAGAATCGAAATCGTTCTTGTCAACTTGTCAACTTGTCAAATTTACGTTATATTTACTTATACTCCTTCCTATACATCATTTCTCATAATTATTCACGTCATTAATTATAATAATCAAAATTATACAATAAGTTAACTTACCTTTCCCTTTATGAACTGAGCTTGATTTGTTTACTTCCGTTTTGGTAATTCCAAAAGACGACTTTCTGAAAGTGCAGGCGTTAGCAAACTATGGGAACGAAGAGGCAAAGAGGTACAATAAAATTACCGATAGTAATAGAATAATGTAATGTTTATCATTAATAACTTATTATTCAAAACAAAACAAACTACACAAACTATTTCGTTTCATTATTTCCATTCGTGCGGATCGTGACAATGATCGGAGTTCTGTGAAGAAACAGTTACGGATTGGCTTAAAAAATCCGTACTAATACAATAATTACTTTAACTAAGAAATATTGAAATTTGTTATCTGCACACATATTTAGAATGGCCAAGTAATTTTTATTGAATCCTTTTTTATATTTGATTTTTTGGGGTGGAATATTGAGTCAGGTTGCACTAAAAGTGTAAAAAAAATATCCAAGGTGAACATCAGGAAAAAAATTGAAAAGGCCAAACAACAAAAAATTGTGTTATGGGCTTCTTCCTCTATTACTAAAAAGTGTTATTGGGTATATTTTTTTTTATTTTTTCTCCTTTTTACGTCAAATGTATGGGGACCCCTGTAGTTTAGTTTCTATACACTACAAAAAAAAGCCAATGTAACTTTAGAAAAGGGAAACAGATTTATATAAGTATTTTTTGTTTCCCACTCCCTATATTTCTGTTGTAAATTTGTCATTTTTGAACTTTATAAAGAATAAAATATTGTCTCTACGCTACTGAAATTTAGGCTAGGCATTTTGAGGCCAAACAATCTTCAGTGGCAGATCCACGAGGGGGAGGTCCCGGGGGTTGGAACCCCCCTTTTTTTTGTCGATCAATGCATTTGAATGGGGACATATAGTTGGAACCCCCCCTTTATCCTGGGTTAGGAACCCCCCCCCCCCTTTTATAAATGGCTGGATCTGCCCCTGATCGTGTACATCCACCTCATTTGGTCTCTGGTGGATAGTCGTCTCATTTGCAAACAAATAACATGACCTTTAATTTTATGAAGGTAGGGCAGCCCTAAATATGATTTTTATCTCACCAGGCCCGAAGGGCCAAGTGAGCTTTTCTCATCACTTGGCGTCCGTTGTCGTTAACTTTTACAAAAATCTTCTCCTCTGAAACTACTGGGCCAAATTTTAACCATTGGACACATTTTTTAAGCTAGATACCCCAAATGATGATTGTGGCCAAGTTTGGCTAAAAATAGAACATAGGGGTAAAATGCAAGTTTTGTCTATTATTTTGAAAACCGTTATAAATAGAGCAAATCTGACTGGAGCAATAATGTTCAGAATGTTGAGCTCCACCAATTGTCCATATACGTCAAAACTGTCGAGACAAATTCTTATAGGAGTTATTGCCCTTAAATGACAAATTTGAGAATTTTTTTTCATTTTTGTCTCGCCTTGACAGTGTAAAAAAGCGAGATATAGGTATGCTGTTTCTGGTGTCGGCGACAATGGCGGCGGCGTCAACAATGTATTAGTTTGTGTTTAGGTCTAGTTTAAGGTGAACCACTAGTGGTTGGTCAATGCTATTTGGTACACAGTTGTATTAGCACTGGCACATCTCATTTCCATGGAGATTATTTGACCCTGCCCCCTCAGTCATGGTCTATTGACTTTGAAACTTTTGCTTAGTTTACATGTATTAGTTTGTGATTAGGTCAGATTATGGGGATCCAATAGTGGTAAGTCAATGATATTTGGTATGCAGTTGTATAAGCATTGGCATATCTCATTTCCATGGAGATTATTTGGCTCTGCCACCTCAGTCATGGTCTATTGACTTTAAAACTTTTGCTCAGAATACATGTATTAGTTTGTGATTAGGTCAGTTCAAGGGGAACCACTAGTGGTAAGTCAATTATATTTGGTATGCAGTTGTATAAGCTTTGACATATCTCATTTCCATGGAGAATATTTGGTCCGGCCCCCACAGTCATGGTCTATTGACTTTGAAACTTTTGCTAAGTTTACATGTATTAGTTTGTGATTAGGTCAGTTCAAGGGGAACCATTAGTGGAAGCAAATGTTAATTGGTATGCAATTGTATAAGCATTAGCACATCTCATTTCCATGGAGAATATTTGGTCCCGCCCCCTCAGTCATGGTCTATTGACTTTGAAACTTTTGCTTAGTTTACATGTATTAGTTTGTGATTAGATCAGTTTAAGATGAACCGCTAATGTTAAGTCAGTGGTACTTGGTATGCTAATTTATTGGCATTTGCAAGTCTTGTTTCCATGGAGATTATATAGCCCCACCCCCTCATCATGGTTCATTGACTTCAAAACTTTTACATAGTTTACAAGTCAATGTTTGTGTTTAGGTTTGTTGAAAGAGAACAACTTATGATAAGTCTATGGTATTTGGTATGCAGTTGTATTTGCATTGGCACATCTCATTTCCATGGAGATTATTTTGCCATGTACCTTCAGTCATGGTTCATTGACTTTGAATATTTGCATAACTTACATGTTAAAGTATTTCTATTTTAATTTCAACATTTGCATTATCAAAAGTACAAAAAGGCGAGACATATCTCTGTGTTAACAGTTTATTGACTATTGTCTTGAAAACTATGATAGAAAGAAACTTTAAATTGCAAAAATGATCAGCAAGATAAGTTCTACAAATAAGTCTACATGGTCGAAATCGTCAGTTCAGACTCCTTAGTAGAGTTATTGCCCTTTGATGATGATTTTTACCATTTTTTTGCGTTTTTGCCTTATATCTTAAAAATTATAATAGATAGATAGAAACTTAAATAAGCAAAAATGACCAACAAGACAAGATCTACAATTAAGACAATTTGGAGGAAATTTCCAACGTCTCCTTATTGGAGTTATTTCCCTTTAATGACGATTTTTGCCATTTTTTTTGCGTTTTGCCTTATATGATAAAAATTATTATAGATAAATGGACACATTAAATCACACAAATTATTATAGATAAATGGACACATTAAATCACAAAAATTATCAGCTAGGCAAAATCTACTAACAAGTAAAATTTTGCCAATATAGTTAGTAGACTGTCACTCTTTATAGGAGTGATTGCCCTTAAATTAGGATTTTTTTTTACCCTCTTTTGTGTTAAGAGTAAAAACTAAAGAAGATAGAGAGAAACTTACAGACTAAATGATCAGCAATACAAGATCAACAAAACAGAGATTTTTATCATGAATTCTATTCTCGTCTATGTTGGAGAGTGTCCTTTGATAAATATGCACATAGAACAAGGTGAGCAACAGAGGCTCTTTAGAGCCTCTTGTTTTTATTATTATGGCCAAATTTAAAAGATATTCGAACTAAAAAAAAATACAAAGACATTTTCGACAGAATTCTACAAAATGTAAAATTGTAGTTGAAGTAACCCATCGGTTACTTACAGGTTTTGAATATCAATAATTAATTACACAAATTACATAACACCCCTCATAAATCAATGCATGTAATGATATGATAAAAAAAAAAAGACTGATACAGCAATTACGAAAAGATAGAAATGGAGAAGTTGACTGAATTTATTTTCTTAAAGCAGTCGGCTTCAATTTTAGAGCATGTATCGACATGTAAAAACTCTTCAGATTTCCAAGACTTGGTGCTTGTGCATAATAAATGGGACTCATCCTGCACTTCTTGAGCTTGGTACTTAGACTAATGGAAGGGGTAATTGTAAACAGTTTTATTGATAAATGAATAAGTATAATTTACTTGTGTTTACCTAAATTTACTTGTGTTTACCTGTAAAATGAAAGCGCACAATTGCAGTCGAAAGCTGCGCTCAAATGTAATGCACAATTCAAACACAACTTCTGCGGATTTGGATCATTCAGAGAAAAGATAATGGGTAGACCTTTCCTTAATAAGATTTGTTTTTTTATCACTTAAAAAATGGACATGTCGCTTCATTATTAGTCTACCGTCTTCGGGTACCATATCAATGCTGTATATGAAGTATTATTTTCTTTTGCCTGAATGCGAGACATAGGGAGTACAATCCGGTGGCGACGGCGTAAACTGTTTGTATAAAGCTTTATATTTCAGAACCTAGAATACCTGGATGCTTCATATCTTGTATGCAGCTACCTTATTTTACAAAGTTTCCGTCTATCATATGTCCATTGTCCTTGACCTCATTTTCATGGTTCAGTGACTGCTTTAAAAAAAAATGCAGTGTTTTTGAAAAGTGAAATGCTCTCTTATTTTGAGTATAGGATAAATATATTTGGTTTAATGGTTTTTTTGCAAGGTCTACATGTCCGTCGAGTAGGGTTCACCTGACCTCAACCTCAAATCATGGATAAAGTTACGTGGTCAAGTCCATATATCCGATACTACATTGTATAAGCAGTAGGTCAACTACATTTGGTGTATGGAATAATTGTAAGGTGTACATGTCTGACTTGCAGGTTTCATCTGACCTTGACCTCAATTGGACAATGTTTAATTTTTATAGTTTGGTCTATTTCTCAGATATTATAAGCAAAAGGGTCACTATATTTGGCATATGGAATAAGTGTAAGGTGTACATGTCTGACCTTGACCTCATTTTCATGGTATATTGGACAATGTTTAGTTTTTGTGGTTTGGTCTATTTCTCAAATACTACAAGCAATAGGTCAAGTATATTTGGTATATGGAATAATTGTGAGGTGTACATGTCTGTCTGGCAGGTTTCATAAGACCTTGACCTCATTTTCAAGGTTCATTGGTCAATGAGTTTTTTGTGGTTATGTCAGTTTATCAGTTACTATTATAAACAATAGGTCAACTATATCTGGTGTGTGAATTATTGTAAGGTGTAAATGTCTATCTGGCTGGGTTCATATTACTTTAACCTCATATTCATGTTTCATTGGTCAATGTTAAGATTTTGTTAAGATTATGTGGTTTGATCTATTTCTCAGGTACTACATTTGTATAAGCGATAGGACCACTATATTTGGTGTATGGAATGAATGATTGTTAGGTGTACTTGTCTGTCTGGCATGGTTCTTCTGACCTTGACTTCATTTTCATGGATATAAAGTTTATGTGAAACTTGTAGTAAAACCTTCATATTACAGACTTTCAATATAAATTCAATCAAAGGTAAAACAGGCGAGACATTTCAGCATGTGCACTCTTGTATTGAAAAGGAAGAACTTTTTATTTAATTAGTTGTAGGTTAAATCTGATCAAAAGCACTGATCATTCGAATAGACACACAATGGTGAACATTGTTTCTTGGGAATTTTATTGTTACATTGTTACAATACCAAACCGCGAAAATTTGTCATTTGGTCAAGTTGGTTGTGTAAGACTCCACCGTTTTAAGACTGCAAATAGAATGGGTGAATTATTCCAGTTTATGTGTATCCCAGCTCTAAGTATGCCTTCCGATCTAGCTACCGAGACAAAAATGTCATATTGGCTGTTGAGTTATTTAAAAAGCGCCAACATAAAAAGTCACTGTTTTCGTTATTCATTTAAACTTGTGCTAGCCTGTACATTGTCGGAGGGTTTTAAAAATTAAAAAAAAACTGTTCTAATGTTTTTGCAGCTTCTAATTTTTAATTAAGGTTCCAAAAGGGCCGGAATTTGAAAGTTTGATGTTTTTTCTCACAAAAACATGAGGTTGTTCTCTGTGTTGCCTTTCAATAATTGTTTCTGTCTTAACTTTTTCCAGTACATCATTGTTTCAAGCACAAAAACTTGTGTCAATACTCTGTTTTAGATACATATGATTCCTTGAGTTGTGACAGTTGAGAATAGAAGTTTGGTTGTAAAGGCTTCATGACTTCTTCATAACTGTATACTTGGCTAAATGTCTGGTGTCTGGTGTGCATCCGGGAAAAGGTCAGACTTTGTTTTATTTATTATTACAGACTCTAATGAAGATGATATCAACAAAGAAAGTCAAAGAGCAGAAAGCAAGCAACAGAAAAAAATGGATCACTATTTGACAAAGAAAGACAATACACAAATAAATCGAGAAAAATCTCAACTTAACAGTGGGGAGGAAACAGCAGTAGCAAAGGAGGAAAATTCAAAGTATGATATACCAACACCTGATGTTAAGAAATCAGACAAGAGTGAAAAAGAGAAAAGTGAAAATGAAATAAAATCCGAACACAAGCAAGCACTTGATACCGAGAGTACAGAAACGCCTTCAAAGCGAATGAAAATGGACAAAGACAGCACTGTAAAAGACAAAAACCTAATAACGAATTATGGAGAATATGTACCAAAAGACAAACATAGGACAAACGAAGAAAGCAGAAACACTTCAACAGATGATTTCTCTGTAAGTCATAAAGAACCTTCAAAGAAACCCAAGAAAAATAAAAAGGATAAAAAGTCAAAACATTCACATAAACATTCACATAAACATTCACACAAGCACAGAAGTGAATCTGACAAGAAGTCAAAGCACTCGGGCAGTCGCAAGGAAAGAAAATCACACAAAGACAGCAATGAACATGAAAATGATCCAAATCAAAAACGACTTGATAAGGAAAAGAAGTCCAAACATTCACACACAGACAGTAGTGAATCAGAAGAGAATTCCCCATGTTCCCGTAGAGACTCAGAAAAGAAGGCTAAAGCTTCACATACTGACAGAATACCTGAAACTAATGCAACATATCCACAAAGAGACTCAGAAATACACTCTGAGCGTTCCCACAGAAGTTTTTACAGTAGCGATTCAGAAACATCGCCATCAAAAGAAAGGTGTTCACAAAGAGATATACCAGAAAAAACCAGCAATCGTTCAGATAAGAAAACGGAGAAAGAATGTGGTTTTACAAGTAAAGAAAGAAAGGAAAGTGGAGGCACACCAAAACATTCCAGTAATTGCTCTAAAAATGATGTGTTTGTACCAAGTAGTAAATGTCATGAGGATCGTAGTAAACACTCTTGTAGTAGTTACAGCGGAATAGAGGGTTCCAGTAAGGGTAAAAGTAAAGAAGACAAGGTGATTGTGCAGTCACGTAAGCGTCACAGTGGACACCTTGACACAAGTCCCTCTATTGATAAAAGTTATCTAAGTGAGAAAAAGGCACAACAAGCCCTAAGATTTGAAAGCACGCCAGAAACACCAGAACTACATCTGGAAAAAGGAAAATCAAAATCTCCTAAGAAATCCGAAAGGAAGTTCGAAGAAACAACTGATTCCAGCAACACTGATTTAAAAGAAAAACACAGAAATAACATTAATATACTTATAGAAAGTATGAAGGAAGAAAATAGATTCAAGAATTCAGCAGAAAGAATTGGGCATTTAGTGTTTACTGATAAACTTATAACAACCAGAGACGATTTCGTCTTTTTCTTTGGTATGGTGTCACCATTCAGTCAGTTCCATGCTGCAAACTTTAAAGTCCAGAATATCATGTATAGATGTGCTGAACAGTATATGATGCACCAAAAAGCAGGTTTGTGGACATTTTTTATTTTTAATAGTGTGAAAATGTGTGTTGATCATTGAAAGATTAATTATACATAGCTTAAAATAAGATGGGCATCTCGCTTACGACAAATGTCATAGAATTCAAGAAACATATTGGTGTCAACGTTAGATCTTTGCATAAAGCTTCTTATTTCAGAAGGTAGAAGATCTGAACAATCAATATCTAACATACAGATACCAAATGGTGTACAGTATCTGGCGTATGTCTTGTCTTATTTTCATAATTCATTAACAGCTTAAATCTAAACTTTTTTCAGGTGATTGTTTTAGTTATGACAGTTAATTGTTATAAGTATTAGAACAACTATTGGTTTTATATAATCATTGTGAGGTTCAAATGTCCCTCTGGTGTCCCTCTGACGTTGACATTTTCATGATTTATTGGTCAACATTAAGTAATCGTGATTAGGCCAGTCTGTTTCTCAGATGTTGTTAGTTGTATAGGTTAACTATATTGGATGTCTATAATGATAATGCTGATTGTATGGTGTACATGTCCATCTGACAGGCTTCATCTGACATTGATCTTATTTTGTACTGTTCGTTGGTTTAAATTTAATGATTTGGTCCATTTTTAAATACTATAGGTAAAATCATTCAGTGTTTAGAATGATTGTAAGGACTGTACATATAAATAAGATGATGTGGTATGAGTGCCAATGAGACAACTATCCATCCAAGTCACAATGTGTAAAAAGTAAACAATTATAGGTCAAAGTACGGCCTTCAACACGGAGCCTTCGCTCACACCGAACAGCAAGCTATAAAGGGCACCAAAATGACTCAGTGTAAAACAATTCAAACAGGAAAACCAACGGTCTAATCTATATAAAAAACGAGAAATGAGAAACATGTACACTAAGGGACAGTGCTATACTTTGAGACATTACACTTAAAAGAATCCTTCGGAGGCTGTTCTCTTATTTAAGAATTTTTTTTTTTTCAAAAGTTAGCAAAAATACTAAACTCCAAGGTAAATTGCAAAATAGATTTATATATACTTGAACTTGTTCTGAAGAATACATCTGTTCAGTCATGAAAGATTGCTTTAGTAAATTACAGAACTTTATTCCTCCAAAAAACAATTAATAAAAAATCCAATGTTAATGAGGCAGCTATTTTATATCCCATATTTTAACTGTTATTTCTAAAATTGCCCAGTAGGTCTCTACAGTGAAAATGAATTTTACAAACTATCATGCACAAAGGGAGATATACATCATGATCAGAACAGACATTTATTAGTCACCAACAGTACTATTCATTGAAATACAAATAATAGACGCTTGACCAAGTTGAAAACTTTTTATTTAAACAATAATGTATAGAAATGGGAATGCAAAATTTGGGCAGTTGCTGTCAAGGTCAATTCATTCACTCCATTACATGTAATACATTTTTACAATAAGACCTATTGGGCAACTTTTTAAAATTAAAATTGATTGTCAAAGTTCGTATTCTGTCTAGATATAGATACAAGATACTATCCAAAATAAACAATATGATAATTCTACCATTTAAATTTTAATCATTTATTTTTGAAGATATATATAACTCAAGTGGACTTATAATATTTTCTATTTTCAGTGCTGTTTGATGACAAACAAATAGCAAAGCAAATCATGGAAGAAACGAAACCTTTGAAAATGAAACGTCTTGGCAGAAAAGTGAGAAATTTTGATGCAGAAAAATGGGGAAATAAATGTATAGAGGTGGTTAAAGATGGAAATATTGCAAAAGTAAGTGTTTCATGATAGTACAAAGTATAAAGACACCAAAGGGGGTATAACCACACTACACAAGTTAAACATTGTCTAGATAAAAAGAAAAATAACAACGATAATCAAAAGAACAAAATACAGAAAACTAAACACAAAATACCACTGAAAACTTAATTGAACTTAGGTGGCACTCAAGTATGAAAAGATATTTTTTTTTATAATATGATAGCTTGTCACTTTGACAGCAGTCTACAACAAATTGCACAGTCCAGCAATGAGCTGCAGTTGTTAATGATCTCTATATTATATAGAAGAAGTTACATTGATGATATTAGTATACCCACACTATGTTTTCGTTTCCAGATTGCAACTCAGATACTTTTAATATCGTATTGCAACCTTACTTGGTTTTTTTTTTGGTTACATCAGATCATAGGAACTAAAAAAAGACAAAAATTTATTCTGAAAAGAGGTCTACTTAATCAAATACAACAAATGAGACTGCAACCTTGCTTGAATATATGGTCATATATAAACGAGATGGGGATCCCTTTTGATTTTTAGATCAATACCTCAAATGTCAAGGTCAAAATTACTAAAAATAGACTGGAATTTGTGTAGAAAAGTAATTTTGAGATGCTAAATCAAATACTACATATGGGATTGCGAATTTTCTTGTATAAATGATCACATAAAGAAAAGTGGTTTCCAGATCCTAAATCAAGTACTACGTACTGGATTGAAATACTTGATTATAGGGTTAAGGGACGACCATTTGATATTCTGGGGGGGGCCAGGAGGATTTTGAAAATAAATAACTCAGCCTTGATAATAATAAAAATGAAAGGTTTGTTCTGTGGTAGTTTGAAAATAAATAACCTGACTTGCAATGTATTGAAAATAAATAACTCAGCAGGTCTTTTAAGCCATTTTATAAATGCTATTCTAAAGTATGAAATGGCACCAGATTCCTACAAAATTCGTCTTTTTTCATATTTTTTTCAGGAAAAACTTTCCAAATCTTTTATAATGCAATGTATAAATATTAATGTACTTGAAATGTCTGAAAGTGGGTTTCATTTAACTAGAGGTATATTAACTCAGAAACATTTACCTCACTTTCATAAGAGGCCTAGGGCTGTTCACCCTCTGACGTACAGCCCCTGTTTTTTGTGATCCATGTTTCTCATTTAATTTTGTTTTCAGTGTTATTTGTCTATAATGTTTGTCGTTTTGTGTTTTATCTGTTCCAGGGTGTGTCTTGTGTTCATTGATTGCCCTTCTTTATCCTCTTAGTGTTGCGTTCCATTTGTAATTTAGTATTTTTTTTAAACTTGAGTTTAATTTTATTTAAGGACTTTTTATCTAATTTTACAAACTACATGAATTTCAAATTGTATCTCAGTTAGGAACGACATCAAGTTGTAATTGAAATGTGTTATAAAAACTTACTTGACATAGTTATATCAATGATAATCAGCCCCTCTTAACTTAATTTGTGAACAAAAACACATAATTGACAGGTATATAAAAAAGATTTTCTGCAAGCCAAAACACTAAAAAAACAAAACAAAAAGCAGCCACATACTTAAGTTTCTGAATTACACTTGTTGCTTTATCCTACATATTGGTCTTTTGATGTTGTCCCTAAAAACTAAAAGTCTTACACTGAATCTATATATTTTGCTTTGAGACCAACATATTGTCTTCTTGTGGCCTTCAGCGGCCCCAAAAACCTTTGCCAAATTTGTTTGACATTACTTTTAAAAGAGGCTTAGTTACAGCCCCCACTTTAATACCTTGTACGTATGCAATACATGCAGTTTGGAATTCAGAAGATTCGATCACTTCCACAGGATGATGATTAATTCTGATTAAATGGTACATAATGATTTGACTATACACTTATTATCTATTTAGGAATAATAAAAAAAATTAAAAATTGTGTGTTTTCAAATATTATAAATATAATTGTGAAAATAAATAATCAGTCCCTTGTTTTAATGAAAATGAAAAATCATGCTTCAACAGTGCAGAAAATAGATAATCTCTTCGTCTAGTTCACAAAAATAAATAACTGATCCAAAAAAAATCCTCCTGGCCCCCACCAGAATATCAAATGGTCGTCCCCTTACATATAATGAGAGGAAGATTCCTATTGATATTTGTGCAGAAAAGTGGTTTCTAATTATAATGTTAAACCAAATCCTATATATGGGATTGAATCTTTTTTTTGGGTATATGGTCATATGAAATGAGAGGAATATCCCTAATGATTTTGAGGTCACTATATTTAAGGTTAAGGTCATGGTGAGGGAGAATATATTTGTACATAAAATATTCCTGTTTAAAATCATAGCAGAAAAAATCATACCTTAAAGTAAATAGAAAAAACCATGCCACCAGGTCACTAAAACCTTTTTCCCTTTATCTGGGGGTGTATGATATGCTAGCTTGCTCACTAAAGGTTTTTAAATTTTCATGGAGGAATCATGGCCACCAGAAAAGTCCCCAAAAACATTCAGGTTTTAGATTTTATGGCAGATTCTTGAAGAATAAATGAACCTAAGGCAGAGATCGTAGTCCCAAGCTGTACTAGCTGTATAAACATTTTAAAGATAGTTCAAAACTGTGTTGTATAGAATAGAATAAGTAACTGTGAGTCGTACTGGTGTCAATGGTAACACGAGGAGATTGACAAACGAAATGTAAATTACTTAATAACATCATTTCAACAGAACTTTATTTTTCAGTTCTCTCAGAATTATCATTTGGAACAAAGCCTATTTGCAACTTATCCCAAAATAATGGCAGAAGCCAGTCCACGTGATTGTTTATGGGGTATAGGACTTGGTTCTAGTAATGCCAAAGCTTGGAATGTCAGGTCATGGAGAGGAAAGAACCTGCTAGGTTATACTCTAATGGATGTAAGGGGAATACTAATGAGGGCAAAAGGACTCATTAAATAAGATTGTATATAGATATGTTAAAAAATGTATAAATAGGTTCATGAGAACTTAAAGACTTGTTAGAGCTTATGAAAACTATGTAGATTATGGAATTGTACAAAGTTATTGTATACCTGTTTGATAATCAGTAAGAATAGATGCTATTTTGGTTTCTAATTAGGGATCAGTTAATATAAATTATTGTGTATGTTTAGTATAAAAATGATCTGCTGTCATTATAGATTATTTGTTCAAAGATAAAATCTGTTAAAAATGTCTGTGTATAAACTTGCTGTTAAATTTACTGTCAATTTGTTTTGTGCAAGCTCTTGAATAAGAATCTGTTACCTTTTTTTTATATATAATCCTTAGATAAGAATCTTACATGTTTTACAAATCTTGGTTAAGCTATGCTTATCAAGCTGTAACATTTCTATATATTTGTTTTCTTTATTAGTAATACATCTTTATCACATTTATTGTGTTTGTTTTTAAAGTGACCTTATCCAGTAATCTAAGTTTTAAAAAAACGTTTGTTAATTATACTAAATATATTCTATGATATATAGTTTCTAACATGTTCGTCTATTTGTCTCAGGTGGATAGGCTTTCAATCATAATCATACCTTATCATCTTATGTTTAACCGTGCCACATTCTGTATGTGCCTCTCCCAAGTCATCAGCCTGTAGTTCAGTTGTGGCCGTCTGTTATAAATGGGTTTTTCTTGTTCTTTTATTGTTTTACCATAAATAAGGCCATTGGTTTTCTCGTTTAAATTGTTAAACATTTTCTCATGCCAGGGCCTATCATAGCTTACTATACAATATGGATTTTGTTAATAATTGAAGTATGTACGGTGACCTATAGTCATTTACATACACATCTTTTGGTCTCTGGTTAATAGTTGCCAATCATACCACATCTCTTATAATTGTCTTATTGGCAATCAGCCCATGTCTCTATTGTTAAGCCTACAGCATTTATGTTGCGGACGCAAGACTTAGCGATCCTTAATTTCGTCTGTGACATCAATATTTAGGCCAAGTTTGTGGTTAATGTTTTTTTTTTAAACGCCAATAACTTCGTCAAACCTCTAAGAAATTTGCTGTTATTTGGACAGAAGCTTTCTTATGACCAAAAGACACTATCCATAGCAACATTATTAAAATGTTTTTTTTCATTTTTCTGCATTTTACTGATAAAAGGACTTAGTTATTTTTGCAGTTAACATGTTGATACAGTCTGATGATAAATGATAGACATCATTTAGTTTATCGAACCTTCATAGAATTTGACAAAACTTTGGCAAAAGCTTTTTTTTATGATTTAGACATAATAATGTCAACAGCAAAATTTTGAAAATATGTTTTTTTTTTAGTATTTTACTGAAGATTGATTTAGTTTTTGCGTTTATATTTACATACAGTTTGGGATTAAATATTTTTGACATTATAGATTTGTAAACTTTCACGGATTGTTATGAAATTTGAACAGAAGCTAATAAATAGTATCTGAAAAAAAAAAGTTGAGAGTTTTAAAAATAATTTGCGTATTTTATTGATAAATATTTACAGTCAACATTACACTTTTACACTTGACAGCAGCAATTGCAGGCGAGACACATGGTTCCGTGAAACTCCTTACAGATTTTTTGTATACTTGTTATAAAAATTTTTAGAAATAGGAAATTCAAACTATACAGGAACAAGTGAATATAAGATGTGTGATTTTGAAAGATCTTAGCAGAAAACAACAGCAAATAAAGATGAAACAGATTAAGGCAAAATAGAAAAAAATACGTTCTGTACAAAATTGCTCTTTTTGTCTTAGCGTAGTGATAATGACATTGATGTATAATCTCCAAGTGCCTCTCCCATGTTAGTTGTTGTCTTGGTGTAGTGATAATGACATTGATGTATGATCTTCAAGTGTCTCTCCCATGTTAGTTTTTGTCTTGGTGTAGTGATAATGACATTGATGTATGATCTTCGAGTGCCTCTCCCATGTTAGTTGTTGTCTTGGTGTAGTGATATTGACATTGATGTATAATCTTCGAGTGCCTCTCCCATGTTAGTTGTTGTCTTGGCGTAGTGATAATGATATTTATGTAGGATCTTCAAGTGCCTCTCCCATGTTAGTTGTTGTCTTGGCGTAGTGATAATGAAATTGATGTATAATCTTCAAGTGCCTCTCCCATGTTAGTTGTTGTCTTGGTGTAGTGATAATGACATTGATGTATAATCTTCAAGTGCCTCTCCCATGTTAGTTGTTGTCTTGGTGTAGTGATATTGACATTGATGTATAATCTTCAAGTGCCTCTCCCATGTTAGTTGTTGTCTTGGTGTAGTGATAATGAAATTGATGTATAATCTTCAAGTGCCTCTCCCATGTTAGTTGTTGTCTTGGTGTAGTGATATTGACATTGATGTATAATCTTCGAGTGCCTCTCCCATGTTAGTTGTTGTCTTGGCGTAGTGATAATGATATTTATGTAGGATCTTCAAGTGCCTCTCCCATGTTAGTTGTTGTCTTGGTGTAGTGATATTGACATTGATGTATAATCTTCAAGTGTCTCTCCCATGTTAGTTGTTGTCTTGGCGTAGTGATAATGATATTTATGTAGGATCTTCAAGTGCCTCTCCCATGTTAGTTGTTGTCTTGGTGTAGTGATAATGAAATTGATGTATAATCTTCAAGTGCCTCTCCCATGTTAGTTGTTGTCTTGGTGTAGTGATAATGACATTGATGTATAATCTTCAAGTGCCTCTCCCATGTTAGTTGTTGTCTTGGTGTAGTGATATTGACATTGATGTATAATCTTCAAGTGCCTCTCCCATGTTAGTTGTTGTCTTGGTGTAGTGATAATGAAATTGATGTATAATCTTCAAGTGCCTCTCCCATGTTAGTTGTTGTCTTGGTGTAGTGATATTGACATTGATGTATAATCTTCGAGTGCCTCTCCCATGTTAGTTGTTGTCTTGGCGTAGTGATAATGATATTTATGTAGGATCTTCAAGTGCCTCTCCCATGTTAGTTGTTGTCTTGGTGTAGTGATATTGACATTGATGTATAATCTTCAAGTGTCTCTCCCATGTTAGTTGTTGTCTTGGCGTAGTGATAATGATATTTATGTAGGATCTTCAAGTGCCTCTCCCATGTTAGTTGTTGTCTTGGTGTAGTGATATTGACATTGATGTATAATCTTCAAGTGCCTCTCCCATGTTAGTTGTTGTCTTGGTGTAGTGATAATGACATTGATGTATGATCTCCAAGTGTCTCTCCCATGTTAGTTGTTGTCTTGGCGTAGTGATAATGATATTTATGTAGGATCTTCAAGTGCCTCTCCCATGTTAGTTGTTGTCTCGGTGTAGTGATAATGACATTGATGTATGATCTCCAAGTGCCTCTCTCATGTTAGTTGTTGTCTTGGTGTAGTGATAATGACATTGATGTATGATCTTCAAGTGTCTCTCCCATGTTAGTTTTTGTCTTGGTGTAGTGATAATGACATTGATGTATGATCTTCGAGTGCCTCTCCCATGTTAGTTGTTGTCTTGGTGTAGTGATAATGACATTGATGTATAATCTTCAAGTGCCTCTCCCATGTTAGTTGTTGTCTTGGTGTAGTGATAATAACATTGATGTATAATCTTCAAGTGCCTCTCCCATGTTAGTTGTTGTCTCGGTGTAGTGATAATGACATTGATGTATAATCTTCAAGTGCCTCTCCCATGTTAGTTGTTGTCTTGGTGTAGTGATAATGACATTGATGTATGATCTTCAAGTGTCTCTCCCATGTTAGTTTTTGTCTTGGTGTAGTGATAATGACATTGATGTATGATCTTCGAGTGCCTCTCCCATGTTAGTTGTTGTCTTGGTGTAGTGATAATGACATTGATGTATAATCTTCAAGTGCCTCTCCCATGTTAGTTGTTGTCTTGGTGTAGTGATAATAACATTGATGTATAATCTTCAAGTGCCTCTCCCATGTTAGTTGTTGTCTCGGTGTAGTGATAATGACATTGATGTATAATCTTCAAGTGTCTCTCCCATGTTAGTTGTTGTCTTGGTGTAGTGATAATGACATTGATGTATAATCTTCAAGTGTCTCTCCCATGTTAGTTGTTGTCTTGGTGTAGTGATATTGACATTGATGTATAATCTTCAAGTGTCTCTCCCATGTTAGTTGTTGTCTTGGTGTAGTGATATTGACATTGATGTATAATCTTCAAGTGTCTCTCCCATGTTAGTTTTTGTCTTGGTGTAGTGATAATAACATTGATGTATAATCTTCAAGTGCCTCTCCCATGTTAGTTGTTGTCTCGGTGTAGTGATAATAACATTGATGTATAATCTTCAAGTGCCTCTCCCATGTTAGTTGTTGTCTTGGTGTAGTGATAATGACATTGATGTATAATCTTCAAGTGTCTCTCCCATGTTAGTTGTTGTCTTGGTGTAGTGATAATGACATTGATGTATGATCTTCAAGTGTCTCTCCCATGTTAGTTTTTGTCTTGGTGTAGTGATAATAACATTGATGTATGATCTTGAAGTGTCTCTCCCATGTTAGTTGTTGTCTTGGTGTAGTGATAATGACATTGATGTATAATCTTCAAGTGTCTCTCCCATGTTAGTTGTTGTCTTGGTGTAGTGATAATGACATTGATGTATGATCTCCAAGTGCCTCTCCCATGTTAGTTGTTAACTTGGCGTAGTGATAATGACATTGATGTATGATCTCCAAGTGTCTCTCCCATGTTAGTTGTTGTCTTGGCGTAGTGATAATGATATTTATGTAGGATCTTCAAGTGCCTCTCCCATGTTAGTTGTTGTCTTGGTGTAGTGATAATGACATTGATGTATAATCTTCAAGTGCCTCACCCATGTTAGTTGTTGTCTTGGTGTAGTTATAATGACATTGATGTAGGATCTTCAAGTGCCTCTCCCATGTTAGTTGTTGTCTCGGTGTAGTGATAATGACATTGATGTATAATCTTCAAGTGTCTCTCCCATGTTAGTTGTTGTCTTGGCGTAGTGATAATGACATTGATGTATAATCTTCAAGTGTCTCTCCCATGTTAGTTGTTGTCTTGTCATATATTAATGTTTTCTGTTGTTGGAGACATGTGTGGTGATGGATAAAGAAAACAACAAACTGATGTTGTCTCAAAACATAAATTTTACTTGTAATCAGCTCATAGCCGGAGAGAAGTTTTAGTCCTAGCCATGCATTTTATCTCTGAGCCTTGTACAAATACATTATACATTTTTAGACAATTTATAGTTATATCATATATGTATAAACCTCTCGATGTCTTGTGGTTATTTCTGCTGTTTGCCAGGTTGATGTTTCATTGACTTTTACCAGTGACACATATTATAGTACTATCACAGGTTGATGTCTCATTGACTTATACCAGTGACACATATTATAGTACTATCACAGGTTGATGTCTCACTGACTTTTACCAGTGA